CAAGTACACGCGTAGTGACGATCCGGGCCGGGAGCCAGAGGAGCCGCCTGCGATTGAGGTCGAGGGTGACGAGGAGTACGAGGTTGAGCGGATCAAAGATTCGAGGATCTTCCGGCACCAACTGCAGTACCTCGTCAAGTGGAAGGGTTATGACGACTCACACACATCATGGGAACCAGCGCGCAATGTTGCGAATGCGCCGGCCCTCATAGCCGACTTCCACCGGAAGAATCCGAATGCCCCTCGTCGCCTCAACGCTGCTACATTTGGTGGTCTCAACTTTCAGCCAATGCCTTCGCCGCTGACTGAAGCACGTTGCCGTTCTGGGTGGGAGATGGGCAAGGGCGCCTCGCATGAGGTCATGCACCATTGAGGGGGGGGTAATGTCATGAGTTGGTACGGCGTCTAGCCGGTTTTTAATTTTTTCCTTTTCGCGGGCTTGAACCCGCGACCTCTGTACTACATGCCCGATATGGACGCGTCGTTATCTACTGTACGATTAGATTAGATGGGGCGGCAGTGCACGGCACAGCTCGGGCTCCGCTGACACAGCCACTCTGACTCACCGGCCCCCGGGGCTGCATCAGCATGCTGTGCATGGACCAGCTGTGCACGGACCAGTGCGCACAGCCTGCCCTCATCTTCCCCTGTATATAAGCCGGCCTCTGCTGCCCTAGGGACCTCAGTTTCGACCTCTTGTCCCTAGGTCAGTAAGCCCTCATTTGTATTCTTTCTTACCTCACTAACTAATACATTTACTTGTCCCTAGCCTTAGGTTTGAGCATTGCTCACCATGGCTTCGGTGAGACTCAGTCGAACGCCCCCAGCTTTTTTAGGTTTTCCCTGTCGCTTGACCTCAAGTCGCGACAAGCTGGGAGTACGTATGTCCTGCTGCGATGAACAGTTGAGGAGCGCCGGGAAGTGTAATGCCTTGCTCCCAGGCTTCGATCAAGTCGGCTTCGTCCCACTCGACTTCTACCGGATCTTCTGCGGGTTCAAAGTCCGGCAGTACCTTGCTCCGGCAGGCATCTATGACCGACCGTTTGGACTTCGGCGAACGTCTGCGCGCCGTGGGCCTGACCCCCGTATCACGCGCAGTCGCTGCTTGCTCCATTCGGCCAGTTCTCCTGGTGTTGCACGTTTCAGGGCACCGCGACAATTTGAGGGAGCCCGACTCCCAATCAATTTCAGGGTTGTGCTCTCGTAGCCAATCCAACCCAACGATCACATCTTCTGGACCTATGTCCGTGACCGTAAACACCGTCTTCTCGATGTGATCTCCTATCTGCATCTGTAGCATGGCTACTTCCGAGATGCTTCCGTCTTTATTGAGTGTTCCATCGATATTGTAAAGCGGGATTGGTTCCTTCAATTTCCGCATTCGTACTCGATTCTCCGTGATGAAACACTTGTTGATGAACTTTGTAGTGGCTCCGCTGTCCACCATTGCAATTATATCCTTGTGCCGTCTTTCTCCTTTGAGGCATACTGGGATGTGGAAATGCTGGGACCCATGGTCCAACTCATACACATTTGCGGTCGCCAATACATTGTACAGATTATTACTACGCGGCCCGACGCGTGCGGCACGAAGCGCGGACCGGATCAAAAAGACTCCTCCTTCATCGCCCGATAATGCTCGAGCTCCTCGCGCATCGACTTCATCTGTGCTATCAAGTCGGCCAGCTCGGAACTATCCGATTTCGCTGAAGCGATGCTTGTATTCGCCGAGGATGAAGCGACGGGGGCGCTTGTCGTCGCCGGGGTGGAGCCCGAGGCAACCGTAGCCCGCGCATCGGCGCGTTTTGTGTAAGGCTTGTCCTTACAGTTGGGGCACTCGAATCGTCGGTACCCTTGCTTCCCGCAGCCAAAGCAACTGCCGGGGAAGTCTCCTTTTCCAACGGCCGCATTGATGCTGGCCGACGCTCCATGTGACGAGGGTGCACCACCACGTGCCCCGCCGCGTCCTCGACCTCGTGCCGAGAAGAAGTTGTTCAGCTCGGGCCGACGGGCCCGGCTGATGTCGAGGATCTGCTCGACCTCAGTGGCGCGCTTGTCAGCTTCTTGCCACGTGGTGAAGGTCTCGAGCTCGATCTTGCGGTAGATGCGGGAGGGGATGCCGCTCAGGTACTTGTCGCGTAGCTCCAGGTCCCCATACCCGGAGCGGTCCGCCGGACCCTTGAACAGCGCGGAGAATTCTGCAGCGGTGCGTTTTTCACGGACCAACTTGTCCGCGCAGAGCTTCGCTAGTTCCACTTGTGCTGCTGCCTCGTCGTCGAGATTGCCGAAGCGGGCCTTGAAGGCAGCGGTAAAGGCCGCTTCGTTCCTGAAGGGGGTCGTGGCTCCTTGTACCCCCATTTGTACCGATGCGAGCTGGGAAAAGTAGGGAGTAGCCCAGGCATGGGCGTCGCCGTCGAGTAAGCTCATCGCAACCTGCACTTTGAGCTCGATGGTTGTCAACGACGTGTTGACTAACCAATAGATGCGGAGCTGCGACAGGAACCTGTCGCACTCGATGACGGTTTTCCCATCATATTGGAGGGGGAGGAGAAGCTTCAGGGTCTCCTTGTCGGGGGCGTTCGTGGGAGAAGACATTATCGGCGCCGGGGGGGACGGAGGACGGCGCGGGGGCGGAGGCGGCTGTGGTGGCCCTCCGCTGGTCGGACTTCGAGGGGAACGAGTGCGCGAGCGGCCTCTCGGCGGAGATGGCGGTGAAGGCACCGGAGGAAGTTCGGAGGTGGGGTCACGTACGTCAGGGACTGCTGACGTGGAGGCGAGCGCTGTCAGTGAGGCGGGCCGAGCAGAATCCGCGGACTCAGGCTCCGAGACTCCTTCTTCACTTGCACTCTCTTCAGGCTCAGGCTCTGGTGCAGGGTCTGGAGGGAGATCTCCTCGCGCTTGACTTGGACTGGCGACAGTTTGGGGAAGGCGGGAGCTAGGGGAGACAGGGCGAGAGTGCCGCGAGGCAGATCGAGATGCGAGGGTGCTTCGAGGACCGAGCAGATGTTGAGCCCTTCTGATCGCCTTGTAGCGCGGGTAATCTTGTTCGATCGATCAGGGTGTCCGATTAGGACACGGCTGCTGCTCGCAGGTGTAGATGACAGTCTCAGGGCCGTCTGGGATGTAGGTGTCGACGAGGTCCTGAGAGTCGAATGCGTGAACTTGGCCTTGACAGGCAGCCACGATGGAGGGGGGGAGGACAGGGAGGTGCACGTACTAAAAATGGCCATACTAAACTAGCTTACGCTACGGCGCCTGAGAAGACCCTGAGGTTCGCAGTTCACGTGGGGCCCAGTACTGCTTTTGGCTAGTATGCAGCAGGAACCTAGACCACGCGTCTGTGAGAACAAGCACCGCCCACTGAAGTGCAGGTGCTGAAGAGTTCGTTCCTCTAGGGGTGGCGATGTATGGTAGGGCTATCTACGTATCGTAGAGTATCGTAGGGGTGCGCACCACCCGACCTGTGGGAAAGGAACGTGAGTTTTTGGGGAGTCCCGAGAGAACGCCGGCAGCTTGTGGAGTTTCGACCTAATGTTGTGACTTGGGGTCAAGCGACTGGGGAAAACCTAAAGCTGGGGGCGTCCAACTGATTCTCACCGAAGCGATGGTGAGCAATGCTCAAACCTAAGGCTAGGGACAAGTAAATGTATTAGTTAGTGAGGTAAGAAAGAATACAAATGAGGGCTTACTGACCTAGGGACAAGAGGTCGAAACTGAGGTCCCTAGGGCAGCAGAGGCAGGCTTATATACAGGGGAAGTTTAGGGGAGGCTGTGCGCACTGGTCTGTGCACAGCTGGTCCGTGCGCAGCATGCTGACGCGGCCCTGGGGGCCGGTGAGTCAGAGAGGCTGTGTCAACGGAGCCCGAGCTGTGCCGCGCACTGCCGCCCATCTAATCTAATCGTACAGTAGGTAGCGACGTGTCCATATCAGGCATGTAGTACAGAGGTCGCGGGTTCAAGCCCGCGAGAAGGAAAAAATTAAAAAACGGCTAGACGCCGTACCAACTCGTGACAACCCCCTTGTTCCTATCCTTGTCTGTGAGCAGCAGTCGTGCCCCAATCGGACACCCAGATCGATTGAGGAAGATTACGAGTGCTACAAAGCGATCTGAAGGGTCCAACATCCACTCGGACCTCGAAGTACCCTTGCATTGTGCTCCGCATCCCGACACTCCCGCGCTGTCTCCCCCAGCTCTCGCCTCCCTCAAACTGTTGCCAGTACAAGTCAAGCAGGAGGAGATCCCGATCTTCCTGCAGACCCTACATCAGAGTGAAAGTCTGACAAGAGTGCAAGTGAAGAAGGAGTCTCAGAGCCCGAGCCTACACTTCACGGCCGGGCCACATCGCCGGACGTGCTCCCCTCTGTGGCTGCAGTCCCTGACGTACGTCACACCGTCCCCGGGCTTCCTCCAGTGCCTGTACCGCCATTGCCGCTGCGAGGCCGCTTGCACACTCGCTCCCCCCGAAGTCCGCCCAGCGGACGGCCACAACCACAGCCTCCGCCCCCGGGCCATCCTCCGTCCCCGCCGCCGCCGATAATGTCCTCCCCAGCATCTCCTCCTGATAAGGAGACACTAAAGCACCTCCTCCCGCTTCAATACAATGGAAAGACGGTCATCGAATGCGATTGATTCCTGTCCTAGTTGCGCGTGTACTGGATTGTCAACACATTGCTAACCACCATCGAGCTCAAGGTGCAGGTTGCCCTGAGTCTCCTCAATGGCGATGCTCGCACCTGGGCTACCCCGATCTTTGCCCAGCTTGCGTCAGTTCAGATCAGTACCCAGGGAGTCATGACCCCCTTTGCCAACGAGGCTGTCACGACTTAGGGTCAAGCGACAGGGGAAAACCAAACAAAGGCACTGGGGGCGTTCGACTAGGTCTTACCGAAGCGATGGTGAGCTAGGCTCAAACCTAAGGCTAGGGACAAGAAATGTATTAGTTAGTTAGGTAAGAAAGAGAATACATGAGAGGCTTACTGACCTAGGGACAAGAGGTTGAAACTGAGGTCCCTAGGGCAGCAGAGGCCGGCTTATATACAGAGGGAGATAAGGGCAGGCTGTGCGCACTGGTCCGTGCACAGCATGCTGATGCGGCCCCGGGGGCCGGTGAGTCACAGCGGCTGTGTCAGCGGAGCCCGAGCTGTGCCGCGCACTGCCGCCCCATCTAATCTAATCGTACAGTAGATAAGGACTTGTCCGTTCGAGCGTATGGTACAGAGGTCGTGGGTTCGAGCCCGCAGAAAGGAAAAAATTAAAAAATGGCTAGACGCCGTACCAACTTGTGACAGTACAAGGGACTGGGAATCGAACCGGCGCTGTCCACGGCATTCCATCCTCAGACAGACGGCCAGACAGAGCGCTGGAATCAGGAGATCGAGCAGTACCTGCTGTCACAGTTTCCCTAATTTTACCTCATTCTTCCGCTATTTCTGCGGACATATCGAAGGGTCTAGGGACTTATCCATACTTATCCGTCCGCATATGGGTACATCTGCATATCTAAGGGGTTATCCGCTTAAATAAGCGACACATGATCTTGTTCTGGACACATCAGGCTGGACTCTGATGCCGGACCTTTTCTAGATAGAAACCAGACTCTGTCTGGACCATGACATCATTCTGACATCATAGGTAGGAGCTAGGCTCAGGCACTAGGCCATAGGCCGGTCAATTCTGGACCCTAGGCCCAGGGCAGGGCAGGGCCAGACTATGACATCATCGATAACACCATATTGCACCATAGGGCACATGATACTTAGTAATCCTTACCCAGCTAGGTACCAGGGGTCCATTACCGGTCCCTGGGGGGTTTTCCCTCATGTATATAAGGCAGCATCCTGGGGCACCCTGTCCCCCAGTTCTATTCACTTCGTTGTTGCGCTTAACAGCATTACCTCCCCATACTTAAGTGCTATTATCTCCCCCCCTCAATATCAAGCTATAAGGTGGGTTTGTAGGTTTTGTGATACCTGCGCGCTTTCACAAGCCACAGGCAGGACGATTGGGCGAAGCAGTTGCCGCTTGCGGAGTTTGCACTGAACAACCGAGTTCACTCCGCAACCGGGCACTCCCCTTTCTTCCTGCATCAGGGGTACAATCCTGAAATCCAGGTTCGGATCAATCCGATGTCCGCGATGCCCGCTGCCGCCGATCGGCTTAAAATCCTGAAGGAGATCCAGGATGATGCGCGCTCCGCGCTGGAACTATCCACCGAGCGAATGAAGGTGTACTACAACAAGCATGTGCAGGAAGCACTGGTCTTTGCGCCGGGGGACAAGGTCTGGCTTGATGCTCGGAACCTTAGGTTAAAACAGCTGAGCAAGAAGCTCAATCCCAAGCGCCTTGGACCATATGCCATGCGGCGAAAGCTTGGAGACTTGGACTACGAGTTGGTTCTGCCAAAGTCGGTGCCGGTGCACCCAGTGTTCCATGTCTCCTTGCTGAGCAAGTACACGCGTAGCGATATCCCGGGCCAGGAGCCGGAGGAGCCACCTGCGATCAAGGTTGAGGGCGACGAGGAGTACGAGGTTGAGCGGATCAAGGATTCGAGGATCTTCCGGCATCAGTTGCAGTACCTCATCAAATGGAAGGGTTATGACGACTCGCATATGTCATGGGAACCAGCGCACAATGTTGCCAATGCACCGGCCCTCATAGCCGACTTCCACCAGAAGAACCCAAATGCCCCGCGCCGCCTCAATGCTGCTACCTTTGGAGGTCTCAACTTTCGGCCAATACCTTTGCCGCTGACTGAAGCACGTTGCCGCTCCGGGTGGGAGATGGGCCAGGGGGCCTCGCATGAGGTCATGCACCGTTGAGGGGGGTAATGTCACAAGTTGGTACGGCGTCTAGCCGTTTTTTAATTTTTTCCTTTCTGCGGGCTCGAACCCGCGACCTCTGTACTACACGCTCGAATGGACAAGTCATTATCTACTGTACGATGATGTGACCTACGAAACCCTAACCCCTAACCTGGGTGCGACCTAAAGGGACTAGAGAGACGGATTATAGTTTTAGTGAGAGGGGAGTTAGCAGCAAGGTGTCCCGCAGTTCGAGTGAACACGAGAAACACCTTCGGAAAAGGCTACGAACACTAGGGAAGGTACGAGGTAGCTCGACATGTCGTCGAAGCTACCCGGAGGCTGTGGATAGTTAGCGGGGGGGTCGGTAGAGACGATCGAAGCTCGGCAGAGCTCTTCGATGTATCGTAGAGGGAAGAGAAATGATTTGATAGGGTGGACTTAGCTAGGACGCAGTTCGAGATGCAACGCAGTTCTTCGACAATAGTCGAAGTCGATCGTAAGATCAAAGGTTCGTCGAGACGGTATCGACGAACAAACGCAGTAGACGAGGTTTCGAGGTTACGCAGCGAAGAACGAAGTGACGCAGTTGAAGACTTAGACGCAGGGCGAACTCGACATATGAGCTCTGAACTCGAGGGGGAAACCGGAACTTGCATTTTTGGAGAGAAGTACAACAGATTTTATACTACGCAAGGGACGCTACGACTATCGAGAGTGGCACACTAGTACGAGGGGCTTTGCATTGTCCTACACGAGTCTGCCTCACCGAGTGGCACGTATCAAGTCCATCGGTAGAGTGACGTCATGCCGAACGCGGAGATGAAGAGAAACATACAAGACACTTTGGACCGGTATCCGTCGTCGAAGGCACGCCGCGAGGTTCGATACCTAATCGGGAAAGACCGGCCACGTCGGTGTGGCATGAAGCGATGCACGCGCTTGGACGAACAGCGTCAAGTGGCCCTATTGTCCGCCGAATGCGGGAGATGTCCCGAGATCTACGCGCGAGGCATCGGGACGACCGCGCCGAGCTTCGAGCAAGCGTCGTGCACCGTCGAAGAGCGTCGAAGGCGAAATCGAAGTGTTGGGTGACTGAGCCGAAGTGCCGGGCGGGATGCTTTTGCCGAAAAGAGCTGTATCGGGGCCCAGAGGGGCTTGGCGCCTATCAACGATTAGATTAGATCGGACGGCAGTGCACGGCACAGCTCGGGCTCCGCTGACACAGCCGCCCTGACTCACCGGCCCCCGGGGCTGCGTCAGCATGCTGTGCATGGACCAGCTGCGCACGGACCAGTGCGCACAGCCTGCCCTCATCTTCCCCTGTATATAAGCCGGCCTCTGCTGCCCTAGGGACCTCAGTTTCGACCTCTTGTCCCTAGGTCAGTAAGCATCCCTTGTATTCCTTTTCTTACTTCACTAATATATTATCTTGTCCCTAGCCTTAGGTTTGAGCATTGCTCACCATCGCTTCGGTGAGATCTAGTCGGACACCCCCAGCTTTTAGGTTTTCTCCTGTCGCTTGACCTCAAGTTGCGACATTAGGTCGAAACTCCCCATAGCTGCCGGCGTTCCTCGGAACACCAACACTCACTCTACACTTCCTACAGGTTGGGTGGTGCGCACCCTTACTATACCCTACGATACATAGATAGCATATGATATATCGCCACCACTTAGGGAACGAACTCTTCAGTACCTGCACTTCAGTGGGCGGTACTTGTCCTCACGGATGCGTGGACTAGGTTCCTGCTGCATACTAGCCAAAAGCAGTACTGGGCCCCACGTGAACTGCGAACCCTAGTGTTACCTCGGGCGCCGTAGGTGTAAGCTAGTCTAGCACGGCCTTTCGTAGCACGCGCACCTCCCCTTCCTCCCCCCATCACCGTGGCTGACGAATTCTTCGACTGCTCTCGACTTGAGCACGCCTTCGACACCCAGGAGCAAATCGACGTCTCCCGCGACGACCCTGAAAGCGACGGGAATCAAGCTCCCTTCTTCATCTGTGATCGACAACCGTGCCCTAATCGCACTCCGCGGTCCATCACTACCGACGAAGGGTGCTACGTGCCAATCCGACGAGTCCAGCACCCCCGCGGCCCGGCACTTCGATACGCTGGCACCTCGAGATCCACATCTCGCCACGTCACTCCCGTCCCTTCCCGACCTGCCTCCCCAGGCACCCGTATCCCCCAACCTGTCACCAGTACAGGTCAAGCACGAGGAGATCCCAGTCTCCCTCGAGGAGTTGAGACAGTCGCACAGTCTACAGCGACCCCTCAGACAATCCCCCAGTCCTCCTTGGGGTCACGGTTGGAAAGGAACCCAAAGCCTGAGCCCAGTGACAGTCCAGCGGTTACTTGGGCCAGCTCGTTGTCAGCAATCTCGTCCTCGACTCCAGTCCCTGTTGTACGTCACCCCGCCACCGGACTTCCTCCATCGCCTCCACCGCCGTCGCCGCCGCGAGGCCGCTCGAGCACTCGCTCCTCTCGAAGTTCACCCGGCGGACAGTCACAACAGCCGTCTTCGCCCGCGGGCAGTCCTCCATCCCCCTCGTCGCCCGTAATGTCCTCACCAGCATCCCCCCCTGATAAGGACACTCTAAAGCTCCTTCTCCCCCTCCGATATGATGGCAAAACCGTCATCGAATGCGACAGGTTCCTGTCACAACTGCGCATCTACTGGCTAGTCAACACGTCGTTGACCACCATTGAACTCAAGGTGCAGGTTGCGCTAAGCCTGCTCGACGGTGACGCCCGCACCTGGGCCACTCCATTCTTCGCCCAACTCGTATCCGTGCAACTCGGTGTTCAGGGAGTAACGACCCCCTTCGCAAATGAGGCGGCCTTTGCCACGGCTTTCAAAGCCCGCTTCGGCAACCTCGATGATGAGGCAGCGGCCCAGGTAGAGCTGGCCAAACTCTGCGCGGACAAGTCAGTCCGCGGAAAACGCACTGCTGCGGAGTTCTCCGCGTTGTTCAAGGGTCCGGCGGACCGCTCCGGGTACGGGGACCTGGAGCTACGCGACAAGTACCTGAGCGGCATCCCCTCCCGCGTCTACCGCAAAATCGAGCTCGAGACGTTCACCACGTGGGAAGACGCTGACAAGCACGCCACTGAGGTCGAACAGATCCTCGATATCAGCCGAGCCCGTCGGCCTGAGTTGAACAATTTCTTCTCGGCTCGAGGTCGAGGACATGGCGGGGCACGTGGTGGTGCACCCCAGTCACATGGAGCTTCGGCCAGCATCAATGCTGCCGTCGGAAAAGGCGACTTCCCAGGCGAATGCTTCGGCTGTGAGAAGAA